CTTGTAAGGCGAGGGACAGATTCTTTCTTCTGTTTCCTGCTTCCATCGAAAACAACAGCAACAACAACCAAAACTTTGGATATTGGATTTGGATTTTGATATTTGTGTATGAAAATGCAACTGGATTTATACAATGCTTTTATATCCTAAAACTTCTATTATTTTTTGTTTGGAAGCCTTGGTTCCATAATGAGTTTAAAACCAGCCTGGGTTTGGTCTAAAAAAATAATCAGAAAAAACGAAGTAGGATTTACTGAGAGGTTTTAGGTCACGGGGTTTGAGCCCTTGACTGGGATTGTGGGGATGCTGTTCGCTTGCTCTTTCTCTATCGAACTTCCTCCTTGGTGACTTGAAGTGAGTTCTGCCATGTGGTCACCACCATGATCTGCTGCCACAAAACCAAAGCAAAGAGTCGTTATTCACAGAGTGAATCCTCTAAAACTAGGAACCAAAACAGACCTTTCCTCGTTTTAGCTTGATTAGCTCAGGAAGTGCGACAGCTGACTAACATAATGGGTAAAAGACCAGCGGAACACATGGAAGAGAAGCACGTGTTGCCTCCGATATCCAAAGATGCTTACTCGATATTATGTCTTTTCTCTGATGGGAAGGGGAGCCAGAGGTAAGAATTTATCACTTGTTTTTGAAGCAATATCTCAACATGCCCCAACTACTGGGCTCCTAGAAATTTCACCCAAGGTGAGAAGCCCTTAAATATTTGTGGGATTTATTTATCATACTCTAAAACAAATACGTTAGCAAGTCATTTAAAGTAGTGATCACATTCTCCTTCCCAGGTTTAAGGAACATAATCTCAACAGTGTAAAAGACCAGCTCAGTGCCTTGTGGAAGGGAATAACCAAGGTGCATGTGGCCAAAACTTTAAAAAGGGTTGGAGAATAGACATATTCAAGTTAAGATGGTGAACATATGTTTTCAGCCATGTCAGCAGGAAGTAAAGTGCTTATTGTGGCCTTTGTAACAAGAACCAAGAACACACACACACACACACCAGATTGATAGAAACATACAATGTACTACGTGTGAAATTGCTCTTGTCAGCAGGAAGTAAAGTGCTTATTGTGGCCTTTGTAACAAGAACCAAGAACACACACACACACACACCAGATTGATAGAAACATACAATGTACTACGTGTATGAAATTGCTCGAGCCATGAAATCACATGTGGAACAGCAGCCTCAGCTGAAACCCCGTCTCCTGAAACAAGGATGGTCCACTCTCATTCTCCCAGATCATTGTTCTCTACTCAGGCCAACCGGGCGAGTGAATTGCCAGTCGGATGGGAATCACTACTCCTGAATCTTTCCAGTCCTTGCTGTCTGTCCTAATCTCTGTAAACCCGCCAGAGCTGCAGCAGTGCGTGCCCTTTACCAGGTTTTCAGGTAGAAGCAGCTCTACTGACTCTCATCAGGACTTTCCCAAGAAAATAGCCTCCATTTTCCAGGTCAGAGAGGGAACTGTGATTCCTCGCACTCACCCTGGAAACTGGTAGAAAACCAGAGAGAGGAAGGATTCTGGAGTTCACTGTGAAGCTGCCACATGCTCTCAGAACTCTGAGCTCCCTGTGATCCTAGCTCAACCCTGATCCCAACAGAAAATCTGTTTTTGTTCTATTTACACCTTGGTTGTAGAGCCATGAATAAATTTGGAAAAAACTGTGATTCCAGATTTTTTGGAATTCCTAATTCATGCTGGTGTCTGAGAGTATTTCAGATAGAAGTTCCAAGGAAAAACATTTGTGTAGTTAAACAGAGCTTAGTAAGCCAGTATCAGCACTTATGATACGCATTTCTTTTCGTGCCCTTGTTTAATTTACGAGGTATGAAAAATTTATCAGAAAGGAAAAAGCCTACAGAAAGAGTTTTGCTTAATTTACAAAAGGAGGGGGGAATGATTTTAGATAAGAGGTACCAAATTAGACAGAAGAGACAAGCTCTGTGCAGAGTGGCACGATTAGTTTTCAATGCCCACGGTGCATTTTATGAACAAGTAGAAGAGAGGAACTCAAAGACTCCAAACATAAATGAAGGGCAGGAGATGGAGATGCGAATCACCTGAGTTTATCACAGCATGCTGGGTCATGAGTCAAAATCCCACGCTGGAATCTATTAATGTGTACAATGAGCACATTTTGATAAAAACAACGGATGTAATGCAAACCCTTGTGTCAAAGCACACTTTGTCACTTCCCAGCGATGACAGTTTCCATAGCCCCGTTCTCCTCTACCCAAAGATATGGGGTGATGACAGCCCCCTTTGCCACCCCTACCCGGGCAGTGCCCATCACTGCTTCCCGTCCAAGAGCAGGAGCCTGGGCCTTGATGCCACAAGATCCTTCCTGACTGCCCCGCTCTCCCTGGAGCGTTGTTTCCTTGAGAGAACTTCAGCACCATTATGTCCATCAGAGATGCTCGAAAGACCTCAGTCCTCCTCAGTTCTTCACCTTGCAAAGCTAGTAAGTCTCTTCAGCCATTGAGCTCTGTCGTTCCTACTTACCAGTCAGAAAGGGGGACCTTCGCTTTACATTTCAATGAATCCTTGGTCTTTCTGGGAATTTTCCCTGGTAAAAGTATTTGTCACCAGAAGACATCAACACCTTTGTTCAGAAATCAGTGAGTTCAGAAAGCACTAGATAGAAATGACAGGAGGTTCATCCAATTGGAGCTGGATGTGGTTGCAGAAACCTGTGATCCTGGCCCTCTGGGATGTGGCGGAGGGAAGAGGGTTCCATGTGTGAGCCCGGCTTTGGCAATGTGGAATCTTGGCCCTGTACCAGGTAAAACATCAAATAGGGCTGTGCATGTAGCTTAGTGGAAAGGCCTTGGGTTCAATCCTCATTTCCATAAAAAGACATCCTAATCGGTGTATATCTATTGGTATGTACATAAAACTCAATAGTCCAGAACAGAGAAAATGATGGACGTCCAATTGCACAGGACAATATGGGTGAATCATAAATTTACAAACGTGAGAAGGCCCAGGAGAGAAAAGTGGATCTCCAAGAAGAAGCACACAGGAGCAGAGATCAAGAAAGGGTAACAATCTAAGGGAAGCAAAGCGGAGAAGCAGCAGACTGGTAGCTCATGATGGCAAGAAGGTTGAGTGGTGGTTAAGGAACTTGGGGGAGGGAAGGGTGAGAGCGGGGTCCCTCCTTGAACTTGGTGCCGGCTCCACGAGGGCTCCTTTAGTAATTAGTCACCACGGTGTACATTTGCTAGATAAGGTCAGCCGATTTTTCTGTAAATGTGTCTTCCAATCCACAGTAAGCAAAGTGATAGAAAGAAAAAGAAAGGAGAAAGAAAGAGATCTTGGCCTCTGTCACGTTGTTATCTCCAAGTCACAAAGGAAACTTAGGAATTTATTGATAAAGTCTTACGTTTAAACTTGCTGTGATTCAGGACATTTTAAAGTGACAGCTTCTTTGCCAAAGAGAATCATGTTGATATTATTTCATATGTCATTTTGCAGACAAAATAATGCTATGAAAATGTACATGTACATATACTTATTATTGTGTGTACTCTGGGGAATGGACCTAGAATCTCACACTAGCTGGACATGCATTCTCCCACCGCCCAGTCTAATGAAGGCAGATAGTTTACATGTTGCCATTATATTTAAACATCATTCTATAGTCTTCGCTTCAAGGGCTTTCTGACTTCAAATGCGTTATCAATCCGAGTGCTGTAATTCATTGAACAGCCTCCTGTGGCTAAATACCATCTTATCCAAGTTTCCTTGTTATAAATAATGATTCACTTTGGCTCCTACCTGACATTCTCACACCTGTACTTGCACTAATCCTCAGACAGGTCTGGAGCCAAGAAGCACACAAATGAAGGATGATGAGTCACAGAACACACCTTTCTTCAGAAACCGGAGGCTTGGCAGGGTTTCTGAGATGTGTGTGCACCTGGACTGTCAAGAGAGAAAGTGGAGGGTGTGTAAGAGCCAAGCTATGCAAGAGGAGAGCTGAGCAAACCACCTGGGACCACTGAGGTTAGCACAGCCAGGCAGCTTAGCATGGGGCTGAGATGCCACAAAGACGTTCTCTATTTCTTTCGCTGGGTGCTGATGAGGATCGATGTCTCTATTTTCCCTGAATAATTTCCTTGTAGGACCAAGGGCCTTAACCCCTGTACCACCTTGCCTTCACCATTGGACAAGTCAAAAAAATATACACTTTCTGGAGGGATTCTGCCTGGTGGGCAAAAAGCTCAGCCAGACGCATGAGGGCTTCCTGCGACGTGCGCTGTGTAGGGTCTGAAGTCGGGGAGAGCGGTGGGAGATGAACACTGAAACACAACCAGAAAGAAAGATGCAGACCAAGTCTGTGCGTGAGAGCTGGGACCAGGTGGAACCATAGTCTGTTGAGAGCTAATGGCCTCCTGGCATCCAGCATGCTCTTTACTTGTTGTGTAAGATAAACAGGAAGAGAAGGCAGGGTAACTCATGCTACGTGGCCCATGTGGCCTAGGCTGAACGTAGTGTGATTGTCACAGAGTTGGGACATACGCAGAAGGAGAAGAAGGAGGATTCATGATGTGACTGTCTTCTGGGCTGTGTCATCCAGGGTCTACAATCTTAGTCAAACAGACTGTGTCTAGTCTATGGGGGACAGGGAGAAGGGAGGAGGCAAAGGACCATCTTCAGCCTTGGCCCACAGCAAAGGCTCAGTTGGAGACCTGCTCAACCCCTCACCGCATCAGCCTTATTGTACAATTCCTTTCCCACTCCTTTCTCCTTGGAATCTGAAATTTCTCATCCACCACCATAAAAGAAACACAGGCGAGGTTAAAAAAGGGATTGAGCCTGAAATGCAACCACCCTGACCTTGCTGGGAAACTTTCCTGGGAGTGGCTTGGAAACAGGAATGAAGCCAGAGGGCAGGGCTGCAGGGGACCATTTATATATGGCGACTCTAAGAGAGGAGCACAGAAACTTGCACTTGGCACAGACACCCAGAAGAAGACAACAATGTCGACACTGCAGGTGGGTTAAAATGTCACTGGGTCCAGTGGTCCCAGTCAAGTGAAAGGAGGGGGAAGATGTGAGCTCTTGCGAGCTGCCAATATGAGCATTTCCATGGCACAGGTTTTTCTGGCAGAGGTGCTCACTGGAACAGAGAGACACTGGGAATGTGATGGGAGCGATCCTTGTAGGGATGGCAACCTCATGCAGGACCGAGATAATCCTGTATCGGTACTGGATGTCAAGCTGACACAGTTGTGAGCTCCACTTCGATGATGCAGTGTCCTTGGGAGGTGGTCGGGTAACCAGGATGTGGGACTATGAGAGTGATTGGAAGAGAGGCTGCACGGTTGCTCTTCAGCGCTGTGGCTGTGAGTGTGCACATGAGTGCAACTGGAGGAGTAACAGACTAATGCTGCTTAGCACAGTTAGCAGGAGCTCGGGAGAGTGTACTACTCAGTGGCACTGTGTGTGTGTGTGTGTGTGTGTGTGTATCTTCCTAGGGATGAAATCCAGGGCCTTGCGCATGTGAAGCATGAGCTCCATCAAAGAGCAAAATCCCCAGGCCTCACTTTAACAAGTACAGATGTCCAAAGTCATTGTGCAGTGGGCGAGCCTTGTACAATCCTTGTCCCTGTCCGCAATCAGAATTAAATTTTGAGATCTATCCCAGTCTTCTGGTCCCGAGAATACTCTGCAAAGTAGGGTCTTCTGAAAAATCTTTCTTGTATTTTTTTAAGGTTTTTTTTGGGGGGTATTGGGGATTGAACTTGGGTCCTTGTAGTTGCGAGGCAGGCGGCAGAACCACTGAGCTAAATCCCCAGCCCAATCTTTCTAGTGTTAGAGAAACTTATCACACTCAAGCAATGGATCTACGAGGTCATTACAAATTCAAGATTTGAACCCGGATTGCCTGGCACTTCTGCAACTCTTCTGTCTCATCAAGGAAACTTAGCCCCAACTGTGTTGGGGACAAAAGCAAAAGGAGCCAGAGTCTGACCTTTGGCCTCTAATCTGGTGGCCTCCGGTCTCTCGTGGGAGGATCACACACACCTGGCCTGACACCTCTTGTCCACTCTCGATCCCCACAACAGATCCCGTACTCACAGAAAGTGTCCTTGCCTGTGGGCTCTACAGTGACGATCAGAGGCAAAGCTAACAATGCTTTCCGGTGAGTCCTGCAGTGTGTGGGTGCGGGTGGGTGAGGCGTGAGGCTGTGAGAGCTCAGGGGCTCCGGTCGTGTCGGGGTGACGCTGACACGTTTGATCGGCCCGCTGGAGCCACACCATGGGAGGAGGGCTGGAGACCCCACGGTGGAGGTTATTTGCCGGGCTACGGTCAGATCTTGATTTCTGGGGTAGGAGACCACGCAGGTTGGGGCTGTGGCTCTGTATCCAGGGTCACAGGCTTCTCGGGGGATGCACAATCCATAGGCCTCGCTCCACAGCTGCTGCGCAGTTTCAGGGTCGGGACAGAGACACAGCAGCTCTGCAGCAAGCCCTAGAGGGACAAGGGTTTCCATACCACCCAGGAGGCAGCACGAGGGCACTGTGGGAAGGGGTTTGTGCTGTGAGGGTGCAGGACACAGAAGGAAGGCACACAATGAGCACGCTCTGTGCTTTACCTTTCAGAAAGGAGCCGCGCATGCAGGTGGACTTCCACACTGGCCCCACCGAGCGGTCTGACATCGCCTTCTCCTTCCAAGTGTACTTTGGCAAATTTGTGATCATGAACAGTTTTCAGAATCCTGGCTGGGGACCTGAGGTTAAATTCTTCGATATGCCCTTTGCAGAAGACACACAATTTGAACTGTGCATCTCAGCCCTGGACAATGAGTACCAGGTGAGTGCTCCCCGGGGGAAGCCCCAGGCAGCCTCCACAGACTCTCAGCTCTCCCTGGCCTGGCCTTAGAAGTCCTTCTAGGCCCATCTTCTGTAACTTCTTTTGCCCCAGATTTTCACCCCAGAGCAGGTCTGCTTCTGCTGCCTCCTTGGGTCTCCTCCCAAATTGGACCTGAGGGCAATGTCGGCTCACACTGTGTTGACCCCCACAGTGGACAAACTCTTCTGTCTTCACCCACAGCTTTCATTTCTCTGTCTGCTTTTATTGAAATTTTTAGGTAGCCACACTGTTAAAAATGTATTGGAGGGCTGGGGATTTAGCTCAGCGGTTCTGTGGCCTGCCTTGCAAGCACAAGGACCCAAGTTCAATCCCCAGTACCAAAAAAAAAAAAAAAAAAAAAAAAAAAAAAA